TCAATTTATGACATTAAGTAATAGGTGGGGACAAATTATAATTAATCAATCGGTTTCTTTCCCCCAGGTCTTTCGGAATTTGTAACATTGGCAATCGCACCTCCTTTATTTCCATTTTTCTTGGAGATAGTTAGGGCAGAACTATCCACAAAATTTTCTTTTTCTAACATGACACTTATTCAGCCCTCTTCTTCCCTTACAATTGCAAAGGCCTCGTTCAATGATAACAACGGTTCTTTCCCTAGGATTTGAACATTTACCTGATCTAACTCCACATTTAAACCTACCAAAAAATCAAAAACTCTTTCTTTTTCAATAAACTCCTAATGCATTGCAACATCTGTGCTACACTTCATTTTCAGATTCTAGTATTGATCTAACTTAAGCCATAAGCCTTTTATAACATTATAGTACTCGATTACCGAAAGAGTACCTTGTTTGGTGTTATGGATCTTCTTCTTGAGAAAAAAGGATTTGTGCTGCATCTCTCACTTTGGAGTAGGTTTGACAAACAAATTCACAAATTTCATTTGTTGTTAGGAGAAACATACACATACGGCTTATCTTCGGTTGCATCGAGTTCCATAACCATGACATGATCTGAGAGCCTTCTTCATCTAAAACAGCATACTTAGGATCATCCTTACTCACCACTGGTCCAATAAGATGTCTCAATTTCCATTTCCCCTTTTATATAGGTTTTTACCAACTATGACCACCCTAAATAGTTCCCTGCATTGAGTTTGAAGGTGGCTGATATATTCTGGAATTCACCAGGAGCAGACTATTGGTTTGTGGACTTATTTATAACAGAGGAATTAACTTCTAATGTACCTGACATGATAAAGGGATAGGGCAGACTTGAATTTGAAGAAATGAACGAAAATCACCCTAACAATAGGATGAAGGATAGAATGGAAATCAATGAAGGCCGAATTAAGGAAACCAGTTTTGACAATGAAGGTCAATAGAATGAATCTGAAAAATATACCCTAGGCAATGAAGGCACATGGCACAAACAAATGAAGAAAGGAAGAACACGATTAGGGTAGTAAATTTTCTGGCTCTGATACCATGTTTGCATTCAAATTTCTAATTGATAGAATATTTTCTATATATATATATATATATATATATATATATATATATATGTATTTTAATAGAATTACAACATATAAATATAGAATTTCATGTCTAAAAATAGCATAGGACAATAGTATATAGAATCTCTATTTATGACAGGAAAGAGTCAACTAAACTAACATGGAAAAAAAAATCTTAGACAATCAATTTTACAAGTATACATTTGTTTTAGTCTATACAGACCGAAGATCTTCTAGAATTTGTCATACAAGCTGACAGATTTTCCTGTAGTATTTTATCTAAATGGAATCCACATTTTCCTGTAGTATTTTATCTAAATGGAATCCACGTGCCCAAAGTATTTTGGCTTGGTTGATTTTATTATAAGAAAACTAGTTAGCTATATTTAATATTAAATATAACTAACTAGTTATTAATATTAAATATATATGATCAAACGAAATAGCTAAGATGACCAAAATATGTATTAATTAATATATTGGATTGATGAAAATATCTATCCAAATAACTAATTATTGTGGATGGGTCAATTCATGGTATTAAGTAATAGTTGGGGATAAATTATAATTAATTATATCCTTATGTGTAATTATTTTCATTTAGTTGAATTAGAAATAATTAAATAGAAGTAATTTAGTTGGCTAAGGATTTAACAGTTCATTCGAATTCTATTAAAGTCTTGGATAAAGATAAACCTATCATATCCCACTCATAGTTCAACATGGCATGCAAATAGTAGATTTAAATGTAAATTTGTGTAGCATAAGGAAATGTAATTATTTGGGAGGAGTGATAGAAATATTCCATGGAGCTAACAACTCATAATTACGTACATGTATTTTTTTAGAGAGAGAAAATTACATCAATTCCTTAGGGAGAGAGATATTATGGTATCAGATTCTTTGTACCAAATTCAGAAGAAAGACCAAACCAAGAAATAGGATTGTAGAACAATAAGGTACCACGGTCGATACAACGTCATAGTTTGTGGATTCTGAATTGGTGGCAAATAATTATTCAAATGTCTATAAGGTATGTTATTCTAATCTTTTTCGGTAATAAAAAATTAATTTAATTTGTTAAAACCTGGTCAAAACGATTATGGAATGCTCATAGATAAATTATTTTTATTAAATTAAAAATGTTTCCGCCTATAGTATTTTAGTACTCTATGGGCAAGGTTCTCAAAAAAAAAATAAAAATAAAAAATAAAAAATAAAAACATATACATATCACATAAATAATATATGAGATAATTTCACTTACCTCCCTTGAGGTTAGGCGTAATTACAAATAGTACCCCTAACGTTTCAAAAATTACACCAACCTCCCTCAAAGTTTGCTCCGTTATAACATTTAGCCCTTTCCGGTGATGGTCAACGCCGGTCAAAAATAATTTTTAATGATGTCAGCAAATATTTAGCATAAAATATCACATTTACCCTTACTATAATTATAAAGACATTCTCACCCTTGCTTTTGAATTGCAAATTACCAAATACCTCAAAGGCAGTCACTTTAATTTTTGTATGTACACATTTTCTCTCTCTAAACAAGCCCAACTCTCTCTCTCCATATATATATAGGAAAACAAAAATCTCTCCATATATAATACATATATATATATATATATATTGATTCACTGTAGAAAAAAAAAAGGACTAATTACATTGACACCCCTTGAGGTTTAGCATAATAATAACCATATACAAGTTGGACTTTTTTTTAACAATGACAATCCTTCAACTTTGACAAAGTTAACAAAGACACCCCAATAGCCACTATCACATGGTGAATTGACCAATTTACCCTTTGAATAATTTTAATTTTATAAGTCATTTTATTGAGACAAATCTACCCATGGCTGGAGTCGGCAAGTCAACTCATCTGTCTACTTTCCCTCTGCTACACACTCTCTCTCTAACATCTAACCTCTCATCTCCAACTTTCTGTCAATAACTTACAATTCATATACATACACATATTTACAGACACGCGCAATGGCTAGCGCACCCACCATCGCCACAACTCACAACCGTATAAGTCTTGTGAGAAGAGTCCGGCGAGGAGCGTGTCGCCGTTGTGGGGCTTGCTTCGCCGAAGGAAGAGCCACCACCACGTGGCGAGTCCTGAGGCGTTGATGGCAAGATCCAAGAGCTTTAGGCCATTGATTGAGGGTCGAGATCTCGATAGCGGCGAAGTTGGGGATTCGAAGCAGGTTGGTTCAGGATTTGGGCATTGGATGAAGAGGCAGCTATCTAGAATGCCACCGGTGGCTTTGAATGCTTACAAGCGGTCTAAGTCCGAGACTCTTGCTCAGTCTTATGGGTGTTCCACTCGCTCTGGTATACGTTAGCATTAGTGACCCTTTGCCTCACCTTAGCACTAAGGACACTCCATTGTGACCCTTTCACACACACACACACACGCGACATCTTTTAATTATTTTTGACAATTTTTTGTTATCTTACAATTGTAGTGACATTATGGCTTGGTGGTAGTGGTGGCCTGGTAGTGTTGTTTGGATCAAAAAAGGACTCATAAATGAAACAGTTTGAGAGAGATGAAATGAAGGGATAGGTGGGACCGACTTCATATATGGGTGGTGTTGATTGAGGGGCAAAAATGACTTTTCACTAGTGCTGATATTCTACAATGAAAATAATTTAAATATTAAAGGGCAATATCGTCTTTTCCAAGCTTTTAAGGCCTTGTTTGGATCAGAATTCTAAGAGGGGGTGTCATTGTTCAAAAAAAACCCAACTTGTATATGACTGTCATTATGCTTAACCTCAGGGGGTGTCATTGTAATTAACCAAAAAAAAAAAAAAAAAATCTCTTCATATATAATAAATATATATATATATATATATATATATATATATATATATATATACACTAATTCGCAGTAGGAAAATCCATATATAATACATATATATATATACTGATTTGCGGTAGGAAAAAAAAAAAAAACAAAATCTCTCCATATATAATACACACACACAAATATATATACACTGATTCGCGGCGACTTCACTTTCTTCTCCATGACTCTCAAGCAAGTCACCACAGAGGACATCTCTGGCCTCTTGTCCGCTGCTGATCTTACACACTTGGCATGAAATCCACCACAATTAATCTCCTCTCATTCGAATCAACACCAAAGCCTAACAAATTGACTAGCCTAGGGTTTCGAATTCTCTATAGAATCTCGATCTCGTTCTATGCAGGACTGTTGATTGTGTCCAGGGTTGTGGTCCTCTAGACGGCGGCGATGAGCTTGCCGTCGTCGAGGACGGCTTTGAAAACAGAGCCGTGACTGCCTTGCCGAGAAAGCTATGGAAGGAGGAGCTATTGGCGGCTGACTGGAGATTGAGTTGGGAGAACTCTCCTTTTGGTGTTGGTGCTACGGCGGGGCGAATTATGGTGGTTTTGGTGCAGCCACTGGTTTGGGTGGGTAAAGATTGATATGGAGAGAGAGATAAAAGGGATGATAGGGGAAAAGTGTGGGTAATTTTTTATTTTGTTAATTTTTTATTTTATAAAATAAGGGTATATTAGTCATTTAACAAGGATTTTATTGGAATATAACTCCGGTCACATTCGAGGGAGGTTTCTATAATATTTGAATCTTTAAGGGTGCTGTCTGTAATTACCCCTAACCTCAGGGGAGGTAAGTGAAATTATCCCATAATATATTTAATAAAAATTGGAAGTTGTTAGTGGCGCAAGTGAGCCAGAGACTCACTTTATACTGGTTCGGCTGATTTATTGGACATGTGCAGGGTGCAAATGAATATTCCTGTATGGCTCCCACAATGGTAAAGGTTCGCAATTAACACCATATCATCATTCATCTCTCACTAATTTAAGAAGAAAGTTGAAATGGACAAATCTAAAAGAGAATCTAAATTATAATACAAATAACAAAGAAGAACTTTAGTAATATTTTGCTTTTCCAGAGACAAATTAATGCTTCAACAGTTCAACCAGAAATGCTCAATTTCAGAAGATCCTTAATTTACTCTCTCAACTCAATGCATGACCATTACAAGAAAAATTGAGTGAGAAGATTTTCAAATCTCTAGCAATTCCCCACCAATAACTTCCTCCTGATATTGAACCATCAGTAATGGTAACATAAGGCGAAGCCTTTTCAATACCAAATTTTGCTGCCATACATGGTCTGCTGACTGGCTAATGTCAACCACCATATCGAGCTTTCAGCAATTCTGGAGGCTCCTCTTCCATGATGCCTGAACCTGTCGTAGCCAAGTAATCCCGAATCGTTGTTTTACGGTCTGCAAGAAAAGTGTGATCTAGAAAGTTGTTGCAGGCTTCATCACCCAGATTCTTTGCTGCCAACACACTGGACTATTTTATCGTATCTTTAGTTCATGTACAGAGTAATTAGCATTGCAGAGAAACTAAATCTTGTGAGCCGTAAAGTCTAATGGTCTCTTTGATAGTTTGATGTAATTGTTTAGGAACAAAAGGGTTCATCATTTCATAGCTGGAGGAGCAGTCCAGCTCATCCAAAAATGGTTTAAACATGAATACACTGGTTTCTCAATTGCCATTACCTACCACCACTATAAATATAAGCAAAACAGGTCACTCTTGTATCAAACTGACTTGTTGCATAGATTCCCATATCACTCACAACCAATACATGAAAACTATGACATTAAGTAGCACTTACCAGTGACGAAGATAAACACGGCAAGGTAAGATATCATCTCGCCAAATCTTGTGAATGTTATGTCGTCCATATCGCTGGAAAAAGATCTCTTGGCTTCCTGCATATTCAATAAGATAGGTCCATATAGAAAATCTCCTCATTCAAATATTTGAACATTGGGTCATATAATCATATTTTCTCTTTGGAAGATTTGCAGATCCTTAGTTTTGTCTAATAAAATAATAATTCCTCTTCCACAATTATGGAAGTAGTTTTTAAACAGTAAAACCTGATTCCTTGAATGGTCAAACCACATATTGCATGTGGCAGTCCGTTGCACTGTTCCTATTGTCTAAAATACAAAAATGTTCAAACCACATGTAGCATGTAGCAGTCCGATGCACACTCTCCCATTGTCTAAAATCAAAATAGCAAATTCCTATAGCAAACAACATTATGAAAGTCAAGTTGTCCGCATCCTCAAAATGAAATATAGAATACTTTCATTTATTACTTCATAAAAACTAATAGCCAAAATAATTACAAGAGGAACAATATTAGGGATCCCCATAACTCCTAGTTACGGGTTAATTGAAGGCCAAAGCATCACCTCCAAAAAGAAACACCGTCTTCCTCCTAAGAAAGAAGAACAAGCCCCCCAAAGGTCAAAATATCATCTATGACAAGAAACACACCTCTACGTATATCTCCTTCAAGAGAGAAGACCAGAAAAGGCCATCTTCAAAAAGTAACTATGATCCCCATTGGCACAAGAAAAATTGATTCCATTAAAGGTTCAATGATCCACATTAGCATCAAATATTGGAATCTAACTACAGAATCATTTTGTCACGCAATTTCTTGACTAGGAAGTCTCCAAATAGTAGTCTATTAGAGATATAGGTATAGACTAGGTAATTCTTCACTGCCCACTGTGCAAACCATAATGCTAGCAGTTCAAAGACAAAGCCATAACAATGAAAAGAAGCAGCGACATATCTACATCACAACAATTTAGCAGTAATAGTTATTTTCTTACAGCAGATCTCAATTTGCTTTCTCAGGGTTCATTATGTAAGATTTCGAAGGTTGATTCCTAAAATTAATACTAAAAAAAAATGCCAATATTTAAAATCACAGAATTTTTCTCTCAAATAGTCTACTTAAAAGTCTTAAAAATTCAAAGTTGAATTTAAAGTTCTTGTTTCATTTTTGAACAACTTTACATGTCAAGAATTTCATACAGTAAATCTAATTCACAACAACAAATAATAGCTAGAACTAGATTTCACGATATTGAGCCAAGCCATACAACATAAATGCTAGGAAGTTGCTGAAAGAACTATCGTCTTTCTTAATTGTGCTACTAATTACATGTCCTATTCTCAAAGAAAGCCTAGATAGAGTTGCAGAAAAATGTTACCTTTGCATCTAAATTGGAAGTATTCCTCATCACTATAACGTGCACAAAGCACCTGTGTTAATACGAAAACCAATAATCAACAACCAAACTAACTTAAAGTCACTATCATAAAAGAGAAAATAAAGATTCCCAACGAACATCAAATATACTACAAAGCGAAGTGTTCAGTTTCACGCACCGCAGGACTATTAAACGGCTTTCCATCTAGTGTCTGAGGTAAGACCTGAAGGACAAGCAAATGAATTCGCAATTCAAGCTAGAGCAGAGAGGGTTTCATATAAAAACTTGACAAGGACCAATAACATAGCATCTTACAGCCACAAAGCGGAACTCGTGCTCTCTCTCAATAAAAGATGGAATCTGAATGTGGGTAGTTACAGATTTAGTTAAAACTCATTTTAAAGGTTCGAAACTTCAAATTACAAGTAGAAATAACAGATTGCTATACCTCAGATTGTTGAATCTCGAAAACAGTAACTATCAAGGTTTCATTTTCACAAGGTTCCACACTTAAGCTTGAAATTTCCTAGAAAAGAAATTCAACTGACACAGAATTTGTACACGTCCAAGTATAACAAACAAAGGAAGGAAAAAGAACAAATGCATTGTTTGGTTGCTGAGAAAAGTTATGTTATATGGACTCTTCGAAAGCAGTGAAGTACCCATATCGGACACTTATTGCTTGGACGTGAGTATGGGATATGTGTTCGACACTTTTGGTTGGACACATACCTAAAAAGCATATCCAATAATTGAATTTTATTATATTATCACTTCAAAATGACTTAAAAGCCTATACTAAACACTATATTACATCAAGATATTATTTACTCTAGAAAATTAAATTAAATTATTAAATAAAATAAATATTTAGCAGTGTCCATGTGCCCGTCTGTTTGGGAATTTGACACGTCCTACAGGGGAATACATACCTGTACCCATCACACGTACCCGAGTCCATATAACATAAGAGAAAAGTATGAAAGAAACAGAAATCAATAATTTGTTAAATGCATAAATTTATCATTTTGGGGCTGAACTAATATAAAATCCCCAACTAAATTTAGCCTATAGATTAATTAAGCTATTTGAAGCTGTGCTTTTTGGATGCAAATCCTGAATTGGATTTCAAGAAGCTAAATGAATTGAAGGATTTGAATTTTTATATTATTATTATTATTATTATTGGGTTAAGCTGGAATTTAAGATAATATAGTACGGGTAAAATTGGGTATCCTGCAAATTTTACTTTCATAAATTTCAAACCCCATGAAATCCCTTTCACAACATTACATTTGTGATGTTGAAATCCCTTTAAATCCAATCTGGTTTCTAATTCCATCCATTCCATAAATTAAGAATCCTATTTTAATGTCCAAATCCTATTAATCCCCTCATTCCAATCAAAACAACAAGATAAATAAAATAAAATAAAAATATCTTCCCTAGCTTTCTCAGCAACCAAACAAACATTTTTAGTTACATAGCAATTTTTTAATAAAACAAACCTTTGTATCAGGATTGGCTATGCCTCGCTCAAAGAAAATGGGAGCAACATGAGCTAAAACTCGCCGAAAGCCCTTCAATCGGGCGATTCTAAAATTGATCAGATCCGGAAATGTACTCCTCGCACTGCGCTCTGATCTCCCAACGTTAACGCATAAATATATATAGAGAGTACGCAAATAAATATATATATATATATATATATATATAGTACGCAAATAAACTGTAAACTACTTATAAAACACATCGAGAATGATGATCACGATTAAGATTGAACTTACCAGAGAGGAGAGAACCGAATCCACAGATGGACAACTCGCCTTTAGGGGAGACGAGCTCCTGAAAATCGGACTCATCGATTAGTTCAGTGAATTCTGATTGATCGGTCGGAATTTTTGGTGGGATGTTTTCGCCGGGAGGCATGGCGGCCGGTGAAGATGGCCGGAGATATCGTCGGCGATCGGATTTGTTTGGGAAGTGAAGCGTCAAAGTGTGTGAATGAGTGGATTTGAAGGTGAGTGGGGAGGGATTAAATGAGAAACGAACTGGAGACTGAGCAAATGGAGAGAATGAGGCTACGAGAAAAGCACTCATGAGAAGAAGCTGAAGAAGAAGATTGCATCCACGGGAGAGAGGAGAAGTAGAGAGGTCAGAAGTGGTGACATATAACCGGTCATCATGTCATTTTTTCTTTATTCAGGGTATTTTCGTCAATTTCCCCAATGAATTTTTATTTTTTAGTATAATACCCCTACTAATTTTTCTTTTTTGAATTATATATCTACAAAATTGCACTATTGCCCACCAAAATTACTACAAAATTTCACTATTGCCCCTCACATAATTTTTTGTGTTAATTTCATTGACACTCCCTCATGTTTGGCTAAATATCACATTGAAATATCGTTCGATCTCGGTTTATGACGGCGCCTGCATCGTCCGAGATCGAAATTCGCGATTTCGTACAATTATTATGTTTGCCAAATCTATCTATATATATGTATTATATTATATTTTATATATTATATATTATAAATAAATATTATATATATAATATTTGTATTTTATATATATGTGTGTAGAGAAAGATACTGCAAATTGGCAGCAAAATAGTGAGATGAAGAATTTTGGGAGGTGACAGAGTAATTAATTAGGGCAATTTGGTCATTTTAGGATTTTGTTATTTTGGATTAAAATAGATTAAAAAATTAGGGATAAAATTGTCATTTTGCATCTTTTAAACGAAAAAAGTAACGAAAAAGGAAATTGGGATCTGAGTGATAGTTAATTTCAAAAGATGTTTCAAGGCAATATTTAGCCAAACATGGGGTCAGTGAAATTAACCCTAATTCTTTTAGTCCGGTGTTTGTTATAAGATTGTTGAAAATGAAAGAAACGAAGCAAAGAGATTTGTGTAATACCCCTAATTTTAAAAGGATAGTTTTGGAATTTTATTAATTGTTTAAATGGTATTTTTATTTAATTAATTATTTAAATGGTATTTTTATTTAATTAATTGATTAATTGTGGATTATTTTATTTAATTGTGTTTTATTTTAATTAATTGTTCTCTTTTATTTATTATTGTTTTTAATTAGATTATTTTAATTGCGTTAAGTTAAATGCTTTATGTATAAGTTTAGGTTTTCTTTTATTTTTGTTTTTGGACGTCACGTTTGTGTAGTCGACATAGATTATAACTTAAGTTGTTTTATGGGCCAGCTAGGATGGGAATTAGGGCTTAGTCTCTAATTATACATGGATTAGGGTTATAGTGAATTCTTCTATAAATATATTCTTTATGTGGGTTTAGGGTTTTAGAAAAAAATACATAAACCTTTGTTCACGTACCTAGAAACAGAGAGAAAAAAGTGTTAAACCTTTGAGGATTTAATAGTAAGGTTCAAGGAGAAGGGAACGGGGTTGCTTCTGGATTGAACCAAGAGCACCGGAGGTGTAGAACAGTAGTCGACAGCGTTGACGGAGAACTCAGAGACGGTGGTTTACAGTTTCAAAATCTGAAAATTGCAGGCAAGTCTCTGTTCTATTCTTTCCCTTTAATTCGTGTTCTGTGCATGCCTAGTTAGACTCCAGGGACTTAATAAAAGCTAAAACGAATGTAATCAAACATATTAACATGTCTTTAATGCAAATATAAACTCTGTTTAGTCTCGTGTATTAACTGTTGTATAACTTTTGATATTCTGTTATTTGGTCCTACTGTGGTGTTTACGTTTTAAGCTTTGATGAAGTTGAGATCATAAGTATGTGTGGATGATTTGTAATTGATCTACGTCTAAAATTAAACCCTAGAACAAGTTCTTTAAAACAGTGTTTAAATTCATGGAATTAATCTGTTTTGGGTTGTTTCAGATTGCTAACTATATCTTTATAATAGTTGCTTTAAAACTTGCGTTCCATACATGTTTTAATTGGATATCAGTGGTCTAAAATCTATTTAAAACTAGGATTGAACCTAGAATATGATTTAGAACACGTTACAGAGGTTCTGTAAATCACCGGAATAGAAGAAAAACGAAGCTGGACTGGACGAGGCTGCTAAGAGGAGGGAGAGAAGGCTCCCAACCTTCTTAGAGCCGGCTCCCAAAGGGGAGAGCCGGCTCTAGGTGTCATGGGGCCGGCTCTAAGATCCTAGAGTCGGCTCTAGGTGAAAAAAAATCGAGCAGGCTCCCATTTTAAGAGCCTGCTCTCTCTTTGAAATGCACTGTAACGTGGATTTTTAAAACTGTTTGGGTTTTATGGGTTTCTGCAACTAATTTAAATTGTTTAAATAATGTGTGGGACTGTATAAGGCTGGAATTGTGATGGAAAAATATAAATTCACAATTGGATTGAGGGATAGAGCAAGCAAAACCCAAGAGGAAATTTGTAGCTTGCTCACTGTTATGCTAATTTTATTTACTGGAATTTGGCAAGAGTTTTATATATAATCTAATTATATATAATCATATATTTTTCTTACAGTGTTTTAAGTGTGGTGACTTAATTAAACTCAACTATACTTAGATTGTGTTTATTGGTACATAAATTGTTATGAAATTGTATCAATTCATGGACAATGTCGGAGGATCTGCTAGGTTTATATACTGGAGCTTAGCAAGATTGTTATATATGGTTTAACTATAAATATAAATCATATTTCCATAATATTATAAGTATAGTGAATTAACTAAAATTTCCTATGCTTAGCTTGGATGTAACTGATACTTAAAATCCTATTAACGGTATCAATTCCTGGACTATGTTGGTGAATATAATCGCTTAAATTTATTGTAGCAGTTTACATTATTGGATTTGAATTTTGGGCTCTATAATGAATGCCTAATATTTATGTACATGCATTAAATTTATCTTGTGCATATTCTGGAGTGTGGTTAATGATTATTTATTATTGTCTTGTCAACTGTGTTCACTGGAGGATTGTATGTACCGGTATGGGACGGTGACATACTAAGTATGGACTATTTCAAACACTAAGTTCTACCTAATTTGGATTAAGGTATGGATTAATCATAAAGGTTAAGTCCATCACCTATATGTGTCATATCAATTGTGAATTGAATGACCTACTACGGTTTCAGGATGGAGTGTTTACATATATCAGACCACTATACAGATGGCTGATATTTTGTGATAGGAGTACGAACTTTATATATTTATTTTATGTGCCATGGTTTGGGCTTGAGTCTCAGGACCATGGTTAGGGTGCGTATATTGCCTAGGATGGATAACTGGACATAGGTGTTGTTCCCTGGTAGGTCTAGGTACTCATGCCCACCTTCGGATGCGTATTCGCATGTTGCCTTCTATTCAGGCTGAGACAGACCTACTGGACTAGCGAGCGTCCTATAGTGTGTACTATATATACATATATGGACTACTCTAGATATTGTTGAGTCTTTCTAGGATGTATTTGTGTATCGGATTACTGTTTGGATCGTAGTAGATCAGGACTTGCATGTGGGCCTGACCCATTCCTTTATTTTTCAAGTGCTCGGCAGTTCCAGAATTTGAGGTTGATTGTGCAGAGCAGATACAGACTTCCATTCCACCGACTATGTAGGACCACTCTCTATGTTTAGCTTTATGTTTTATTTCCAGTTCGAGACTTTTTATTAGGGGTCCTCTAGAAGGATTCCCGAGTTATATGGATTGGTGGTTTGGATTATCGGATTTAAAATATTTATAATTCAAGGTTTATTAATTTAGCTTCTTCCGGCTATTTAATTTTATTTCTTATTTAATTTTGTCTTCCGTGTTCGATTTAAAATACTTTAATTGTTTGATATCCCTCGGGTTTGGGCCTGGGCCTGATTAACCCGCGTCTCGGATCCGAGGGGTATCACAATTTGGAAGAATACAAATTAGGCATAATGTGTTAGTTTTGTTATTCTCCAAAAAAAATGGGAGGAAATAAAAGCAAAGGGAAGGGAAGGACTAACATTTTAAATGAAATTTTGTTAATACCAAATTTTAAATATATATATATATATATTTAAAAAATAGTACCCAAACATGATTATTATCATTTCATTTATTTATTTTTTATTAATCAACTAAATGCTTATAATAGTAACTAGTAACAATATTATCTAGGGTAAATTACACAGACACCCCCCTAAGGTTAGGTTATATTTTAGTTAGATGAATATTTTGGTTTTAACTTTCACTTCACCCTAATTTACTTTTTGGCCTCTGACATATTCAAATTGACCATTTTACCCTCAAATTTTAATACAAAATATATGTAATCTTAAATGACAAAAGCCCCCATATCCCTACCTCACACCACTGCCACCATCTCTAGCTCCCCCATCATAACCACTACTGATAAGCGCTGAAAAGTGCGCATTTAAACCCCTTAATCTTGAACGTTCTAGGACCTTATTCTATCTTATTTTCCTGTTTTAGCCTAGTTTCAAGTTATTCCCCTTTTCAGGAACTTATCTCCAAAACATATCAAATCAGCTGAATTAGAGCATTGGAGGAAGCAATCTAAAGTTGAGTGGAAGAAAGGAGCAAAGTGGAAGCAAAGTGTGAAAAAAGTCCTTTCTGATTGATCGAACCAAGCTATGATCGATCGCATGCGATTGTTTTAACCCTGCCATGATGGATCGAACCCCTTGTCCTTATCCTCAAGAAAATTTCTTATTTGATCGATCTAACCTTTCATTCGATCGATCTAACCTTTCATCCGATCGATCGAACCTTTTGATCTTATCCTCATAATCACTTTTATCCTTTTCCCAAAAATATCTCAGCCTTTGTCTAAATAATTGCGCTACCTTACTTCGATCGATCAGAGCAACCATGTGATCGATCGAACTACCTTAAAATGTGTGCAAAACAGATTTCAAGTTGAATTGAAGGTGTGCTCGTGGTGCAATCATTTAGAGGTCCTAGTGCATGAGGTTTGACCATTGGGTGTGACATTTAAGCTACCTATATAAGGAATTTGGGTATTTTTAGTAAAGAGGTTGGTTAGTTAGAAAGAGAATTGGCTAGAGATTAGAGAGAGAAATTACATTTTGGAAAAGTTCTTCCATTCTCCTAGGGTTTCTACCAAGAACAACAAAGGAGAAGGATGAATTTAACTATGGAGAGAGCCCTTGAGGGTTGGATGACAACAATCATGA